GTCTAGGATCCTAATGAAAAATTTTCTTCAATTCCCACTGCAAAAGTATTGTTTTATATAGATCCCTGGACCCTGGTCCAGATTTGGTGGGCCTCAGAAATTGATCTGTATGTGTGCTGTTACCTCTTGTGGTTCCCAAATTTGGAGTCCACTGGTCTTAGTTTCAGAGACTGGTTATAGCTTTTGCATGTCTATAATCCCTGTGGTCAGATTGTGCCATGTGCATTTAAATGGTCAGTGGGAAGAGTGGGAACTAGTCAGGTCCTTATCTATGTTGCCCAGAAAGGAGTCCGCCATCTCCTTTACACCACTCATAAACCTACTTTCTGGAGCAGAAACAGAAGTCAGGGAACATGGCTGCTTTTATATAGCCATCTGAGGTCTATATAATAGTAAAGATTTGAAACACAGATGGGTCCAGAGAAAGAGCTGGGACAATAACCGGCTGTACAAGTCCTCTAAGGAAATTACAGGACATTTTCTATTGGTTAGAGAGCTCTCATTTATGTAGTAGGAGTATGAAAATAACAAGTTTCATGTTGCGTTTAAATCAGAAATAAGCCATATCACTTCATTTCAAAAAGAGCTGCCTAAAGAAAAGCAAACTGAACTGTTTTCTTCCCATTCTGAACAAAGGAAGCAACAAGAAAAAAAATTCAGTGATATTTATAACAATAATAACAGATTTATTGGAGGAATTATAACTATGTCCTGCAAAAAGTTTTATAACATCAGAAGTGATTAAAAACAGTCTAGTTTCTGAAAACAATCTAACAATACAAGCATACTATTTTATTTATTTATATTAAATGGAATTATTTATATTTAATGGAAAAATTAAAAAAAGAAGTCTGTTACTGAAGATACAGAACTGAAATGAAATTTAGTCTTATGGGATTTAAATGCAACAGAATTATTCAGCTATTTAAAGTCCTTTTTGGTTTTGATTTTCTTCTCAGTTCCAAGTAAGAATTAATACAGTACACACTATCAATAAAGAATATCTCTAAACCTAGGGAGACACTCTTCTCTCTATGCAGAATTCATTGTCTTTCATATTTCCCTTTAATCAAGGCTATATAAAATGAGATTTTATTTCACACTATCTCAACTAAAAGGAGACATATATATTTCTATTCCACACAAGAGCAATTCTACATAACCAGGATGTCTATGGCTAAAAATATCGCCTCTTCGGGCACATTCTGTGTGGAGCACTGGGTGTTATGCACAAACAATGAATCATGGAACACTGCATCAAAAACTAATGATGTAATGTATGGTGGTTAACAATAAAAAAATTATTAAAAAAAAAAAAAAAAAATATCGCCTCTTCATATTCCTCCAGAATATTCAGGGTACTAAAAACATAAATGAATAAGTGTGAGTACACAGGAAGCCAGTAGATAACAAAAACAGGGATGGGTAATACAGAGTAGTCTAGCGATATATATTTCAAAAGAACTGGGTTTTTGATGGAGAATATAGAAAAAATGGCAATAAAGAGAGGTAAATGGGTTGAGGAAGACAAACTAACAATTGAGGGGTTGCAGAGGAAGCACTACTATTAAGGAACAACCAGGTTTCCATTAGCACAGGAAGCTGGAAAAAACATAAGGAGACCCTGAATCCAGAGAGCATCTTGAAAAGCCAATATGCTGAAAATTATGGAGTTAAGACTTAAGTTTGATGAAAGTATGGTAAGAACTGCATAATTAAACTCTGACTGAAGTTAACAGCTGGTAGTGTTGAAAAAGTCCCTGGAGGAAGGTGGATAATCAGTTTAAATTATATTGCAGAATATTAATCTGAAAGGACATGGGGACCACTTAACAGCATTTACTCTTGCAGCTCAAGACAAGTATCAGCCTAGAAAATGGGTGAAGGTCTATTATCTTACCTTGCCTGGGGCAAGATATGTGAAGATCTGTATTCAGATTGCTGGGTTTGAGATGACACAGTATCCTCCCAGAAGGTATTTACTCTTGAAGATCACAAAAATCTTTTAAGATGAAAAAGAAAGCCTATTTGAAAGAAATCTCAGACACTATGAAACAGTGATAGGAAAATGTCAGAGAATACCTGCTTAGTATCTGCTTAGTATTATGAAGTATCAACAAATCTGTTTGGTAATAATAAATGTTCAAAAAATAACCTCTGACAGGCATACAAGAAGCCAACTGCCTATTTTCTTAGTTTTGGCCACTAGTAGACACTAGTCATGGGGAGTCTCCACATAGGTAATTAGCAGGTGAGGATGGCTGGCATGACAAAAGGCATGGGATACTAATTACAAACACCTCCCTTAATTTTAAAATGACACGTGACAAGGGAAAAATGACGGAAGGACCCTTACTGCAGTAGTGTAACCCACTGCCACATGTGGATTACCCTACCCTTGTATCCACCCAGACTCTTGGGGAAGTGCCTACCCAATAGTCCTATCCCTGAATGCAGCAAACCTTGTTTTGAATAACTATACAAAGAGGGACTAACCTCCAAACCTTGCAAAGGTTTTTGAATAACCATACAAGGAGGGACTATTACATCCCAAAATTGAATGTAAGCCACTATCCTGTCGAAATAGGACAAAAGCAAACAATCCCTTTTCACACAACTATACCCTTCACAACCTTCTGCTTCTTTGTCTCTAGTAATAGCAAGGAAGAAATATATAATCCTTAAAACTAAATTACAAGGTACAGAGATAAGCTATAAATAGAACTCAGAGAAGACAGATAGCATCTTCCTTATGAAACCATGATCAAATAATTATCTAGATACAATTGCTTTTCATAGAGGTGTCTACTCAAGAAAGTCCCAACTGGACTCCCACTCACATATAGAACTGCCATGGTGGGCAGAGGCACTTTGGTATAATGAAGAAAGCATGGACTTAAAACTTGGATCTGAGTTCAAATCCTAGCTCCAATCACTAACTAGTCAGCCACCTAATCTGACTGAGACTCAATTTTCTTGTACAAATGTTGTAAGAATTGAATGGCATAACAATAATCACTACATGCATAAGAAATGGCATTAGGCTTAGGAAAAGAGAAGTGACTGCATTTAAGAATGGGCAGATTCTGGGGCGCCTGGGTGGCTCAGTCGTTGGGCATCTGCCTTCGACTCTGGTCATGATCCCAGGGTTCTGGGATCCAGCCCTGTATCGGGCTCGCTGCTCTGCGGAAAGCCTGCTTCTCCCTCTCCCACTCCCCTTGCTTGTGTTCCCTCTCTGGCTCTCTCTCTGTCAAATAAATAAAAATAAAGTCTTAAAAAAAAAAAAAGAATGGGCAAATTCTAAGTGTACCCAGATATATTTTGAGCTAAGGACTTAGAAGTTTAAAACACTGGTTGAAATGGGTTAAAGCCTTCTCAAAGGGCTGGACATAAAGAAAGGCAGAAAGAAAGGCAGAGGAAGCAAGTGAGCACCTGCAGTCCTGACTGCACAGCATCCCTCCCTTCTCCTGAGAAAGGCTTCCTCAATGATAAAAGAGAGAAAGCAAACAGATCAGAAAGCCTCAGCTCCTTTCCTCACTTCCTGATTCTGAAAGAGTTGTGTGAAGAGAAGAGCTTGCAGTTAAGAGCTTCCAGTTATGGCCAACATCTTACAACTGGGAGGCTGCAAAAAATGAAAGCCTATATGCTGAAAATTATGGAGTTAAGACTTAAGTTTGATGAATTGCTCAGTTGCGAAACCAAATCTGGAAGTGTGTACCTCTAGACTTCCCCATAAGTAAGCAATCAATGTTCTTAAGGTTTTAGCTACTAGCACTTGATATTGTGTTCATTACACCTGAAAATGTCCTAAATGCTACCTTAGGTAAAACTTTTCCTGAATCACTCTGAGAGTTTAGAAACACTGCTCCAATGTCCCATACTTGAGCTATTTTCATTTACTATGGGCCAGCTTTGTCACACAATCCATGCATTATCTCATTAAGTCCTCACAACCCTGTTAGGTAGGTCATTATTCCCTTTTTACAGGTAAGTCTAAGGCTCAGCACAGTTAAGTGACTTGTCCAAAACTGACAAGCTAATGTGTGGCAGATCTGGGATCAGAACACATATCTCTGATCCCAAAGTTCGCACTTTAAGCTACTAAACTGTATATGAGAAGGCAGAGTCTTCCCCTCATTTTAGATTATGCTAACCACATCTTTACAGGTTATGCAGCTGCAATTGTTTCAGTTTCATAAGGGGTTATTTTTTCTGGTTTTATAGATATATACTGAAAAGATGAAATCTCTATTACCTGCCTTCTACAACTGTGGGAAAGAAGAATGCAATAAATTTTTGTTGTTCTTTTAACCTAAGAGTTAAAAAAAGTCAGCTTATTTTAAAACTGCAAAAGACCAACGACTGGTGTTTATTATTAAATAAACAGGAAACAGGTTCTAAAAGGAAATGACTTGCTCATGCTTCCACTGCTACCAAGTGCCAGTATTAGGGTGGAATCCCATGAGTTTAGGGTCCATGTTCTACATGCCTTTCATAACACTGCTGAGTGAAAATGAGCACATACTCACTGCATTTAAAAAATACTGTACTTCTTTCCTGAATATAAAAGTACTACATTCTTGTAGAAAATCTAAGAAGCATAGAAAAGTATAAAGAAAATAGAAATCACCTATAATCCTATCACCCAATGATAATCACTGTCAACGTTTTGGTTTGGTATTATTTCATTCCCATTTTTCTCCAATAGGTAAATGTTTTTTAAAAATTTGGATCAAATTTATCTTCCATTTTATACAAATAATTTTTCCCATGACATTAAATATTCTTTAAGAATCTTTATAATGGCTGCAAAACCATCATGTAGATAGACTATCATTCATTTAAACCCTATACTACTGAAAATCTAGTTCTCTTCCTTCAGTTATATATGATGCTAGCATGAATATCCCTGTTAATCTTTGTCTGCTTCTGGTTACTTTCCCTGTATGGAGTCTTAGAAATTGAATTAAGGTTGAGAACAATGAAAAATTGTTTTTCCAAAAGGTAGCAATTAGGCCTACAAACAACAATATATGTTATTTATGATGTTTCTTTCTCCTCATTATGTTTTCTCTGGTGTTGAAGAAGTTGTGAGCTATAACGATAGGCTTTCCCACACTCACTACATTTATAGGGTTTCTCCTTAGTGTGGGTTCTCAAATGTAGAATAACTTGAGAAGTCTGCCTGAAGGTTTTTCCACATTCGTTACATTTATAGGGTTTCTCTCCAGTGTGAACTCTCTGATGATCAACAAGGTTTCGGTTAGAAGTAAAAGCTTTCCCACATTCATTACATTTGTAAGGTTTCTCTCTACGGTGAAGTCTCTGATGTTCACTAAGGGTCTTCCTTAAAATGAAAGCTTTTCCACACTCATCACACTCGTAAGGCTTCTCCCCTGTGTGAATTCTCTGATGGTCCATAATCTTTGTATTAGAAACACATGTTTTCCCACACTCCTTACATTTGTAAACTTTTTTTCCTTTGTGCATTCTTTGATGTTGAGTAAGGTTTGAACTACGGCTAAAGGCTTTCCCACACTCAATACAAGTGTAGGGTTTTTCCCCAGTGTGAACTCTATGATGTGAAATAAGACCTGAACTCCGACTAAAGGCTTTCCCACACTCCTTACATTCATAAGTTTTCTCCCCACTATGGATTCCCTGGTGCCGAATGAGGTGTGACTTACCACTGAAAGATTTCCCACATTCACTGCATGTGTAGGGCTTCAGTCCAGTGTGGATTCTTCGATGAACAACAAGGTTGGAGCTATGACTGAAGGCTTTTCCACACTCCTTACACTTATAGGGTTTCTCTCCTGTGTGGATTCTTTCATGTACTGTAAGATTTGCACTCTGACTAAAGGCTTTCCCACACTCAGTACATACATACTGTTTCTTTTCAGCCTGAATTCCCATGTTTGTTGCAGGATCCAAGCACTGACTACCATCTTTTTCAGATTCTTGCTCACTCACTTCTGTAAGTGTTTTATTGTCTTTAACTGTCTTATGCCTGAAGCTTCTTGTCTTTCTCATTTTGCCTTGCTTGAAGCATCACAGTGGCCTGTTGAATCTTCTTTCTCTTCAGAGGAGCTTTCTAAATTTTGACTTCCCTGGCATCACCTCTGTGGAGTTCTCTTGAAAGTGTGAGATCCTGATTTTTCAAGAATGATACTTTGGAATCAACACCTCCTCAGTCCCAGTTCCACCATCTGACAGAAGAAACAGAAATTGCACATGTCACCTATTCTCTATCCAAAGATAACAAGATGTGGTACACCACAAGGTCTCACATGGAAGAGAAAGTGTTCAAAGACAGAGGGAACTGATCAAAAATGAGATGAGAAAAATGAGGGTAGACCCAGAGGCCAAGGTAAAGGCTTATGGAAAGATAGGAGGGGAACCCAACAGGTCCAGCATCAGGATAAGCAATGAGTAATATAAAATCCACCCAGGTTTCCTCCTGTCTCACACTCTACTCCCAGAATTGGAGCCATCAAACTCCTCATCTGGTCCCTAGAAAAAATGAAATGAAAGATCCTTAGTTCAGTAGCTCTTCAAAACAGTTTGGCTTTTAGTTCTTGCTGACCTATTCAGACAGACTGAGCGCATGCGGCTGGATCCAGCTACAGAGCAGTCCCTACAGAATAGGCTATGGTGTGACTAGGCTCCAGTAGGCTCTGGTACTGGAAGAACAGTCTGTCTACTTCCCACCAAGCTATCACTCTGACAAGCTATCACCCAATCTACTGTGCAAACCTGAGAGGCTGAGCTGGGGAACAGGGCTAGCTAAAGCATGGCAGGGTAAGGCCATGCTCTGATAAGACCTTGCATGGTAGAATGGTAAAGTATCTAACATTGGCAAAAGGGTGAAAGTAGGAGACAGCACAACCAAAACGGGCCAATACATGACACCGATGTCAGGAATGAGCAGGAATTTCCCAACGGGTCTGACATGAAACTTGGGATATACAGAAAGGGATTGGGATCATAAAAGAAAACAGAAAGATGATCCATGATATTAACACATAATTAGTGTTCTTTTTACTATGTTCCTCTTCAAACTTGTCCATATTTATAGTATATATGGTTACAAATATACGGTAGATATAATTTTGCATCCTACCATATGTAATTTTCCACATTGCTATTTCATCATCATAAGATCATTTTATGATTATATAATATATTACCAATTGAATTCATTATGATTTACGTACAATTTTGCTAGTGTTAGATGTTTCTGTTGCTCCCTGCAGTTTAACCACTTCAATAATGCTATCATGATCACTTTATGCAAAGTTTTCTTCCTAATGAAATATATTCCTAGGATAAAAGTTCCACAAAGGAGTTACTGGGTCAGAGGGAATGAAATTTTTTTGCAGTACTGCCTATTGCTTTTCAAAAAAGTTTGACCAGTTTCCACTGTCTCAAAGCTTTTCATAAACTGAGTCACACTCTGGAGGAGGAACATGTCCAATGGTGAGTGCTCAAGACCAGCAAGAAAGGAAGAGAACTTCCAACTGAGGTTAGAGTTCGTATTTCAGGAATACAGGTGCCACTGATGCCATACAGGGACACATATATACAAATCTGTGCTCAAGATAAAAAGGGGAGGCAGAGAAAATGGTGGCAGGGGGGTGGATTCTTGCCAGGATCCTGAAGCACACACACATCCAGCTGTTGCTACCTCTCCTAATCAAAGAGGAAGAAACTCAGTGAGAAGCCAGGTGCCTGCAGAGCAGAGTAGAACAGTAAGTGAAGCCATTTCCAGAGTTCTCTGAGAAAGCTGATGGTTCTGAGTTTCTTTTCCATTTGTAATCTTCTCTGAAACTCTTTTCTTCATACATGTCTTAAAGTAGTAATTATTGAGCGTTCTACTGCGTACATTCTGTTTTGGATCTAACAGGGGAAATTTTAAAAAGCATTATTACAGAAAAGTAGAAAATAACTATTTGTGGTATGAATGAATGGATGGATGAACAGGTGGGTAAGTTTATATAATTACTATGATAGAGGCCTCTCATTTTGCTAGCAAATTGTCTTCTGCTAACTTGTATTATTTTTTAATTCTTTTTATAGTATTTCTTATGAAAAGTTGGGAAATTACTTTAGAGGATCCCCATAATTACTAGAACAAAACATTTTAGAGATTCAGAATGAGACAACGCCTTGAAGCCAACCCCAGCATGTCTCATTTCTAGGCATAACTGATCTAAATCGTCTTAGCTAGCTACTGTAGTAACTATTCTATTGTTAAAAGCTGCTATGGTAAAGATCAGTATCGTGGCTTTCAAGAAAGAGGTGTCTGTGGAAACTGTTAATAGCCAGGTATTTACATGGCTCTGTCACAAAGCAATAAATACCATTATTGGACATAAAAAAATAAATAAAATAAAGCATTGTTACATACTGAATGTGTCCCCCCCCAATTCTATGTTGAAGCTCTAACCCCCAATGTGACTGTATTTGAAGATGTGACCTTTAAGGAGGTAATTAAGGTTAAATGAGATCATAAGGGCTTGATCTGATAGGATTAGTGTGTCCTTATAAGACAGAAGAGAGCTCACTTTTGCTTCCACTCCTGCCTCCCCACCCCCCAACAAACTGATAGCCATATGAGCACACAACAAGAAGGTGGCCATCTATTAGCCAGGAAGACAGTCCCCACCAGAAACTGAATCAGGTGGTCACCTTGATCTTGGACTTCCAGGCTCCAGAACTGTGAGAAAAGGAGTATCTGTTGTTTACGCTGCCCAGTCTGGGATTTTGTTATGGCAGCCTGAGCACACTAATAGAAGCATGAAATATCACATCTACCTTTCAGGAGCTTACAGTGGAGTAAATGGTGAAAAATGAGGAGACCAAATTAAGATTTACAAAGTACCCAACCAGGAGGTGAAGGGTGCTAGGGAAGGGAACAATTACTGGGGTGAGGAATGCTCGGGGAGAGGTGCTTTAAGAAGGCAAACCTTTGGCTGAGCCCCAGAACATGAAGGAATTGTTTCCTCAAAAAGAAGCTTGTGGGGGAGGGGGAGGCAAAAAAAAAAATGAAGGTTGCACAGGGCCAGTGTACTCAGAAATAAGTGGGCGATTACACTATCACGTAGCTTCATGATGGTGGGGATTTTATTCATTTTGTTTACCTTTGTCTTCCCAGCATCTAGCACAGTTCCAAGCATACAGTAGACACCAAAAAAAATTTTTTTGAATGAACAAATGTAAGAATTAAGTTGCCTGAACTGATATGAGCCAGAACACTGAAATTATGGGGCACATATCAATATAATTTAATGGTCAATGGGTAACAAGCCATCCTCATTTTCTTTCCCCACACTACATTTTTTTTTCTACCTCGTTCTCCTCTCTCACTCTCACTTGTCAAGAATACAGTTTCTAGCATCATTATTCATAGTGGCCCCCTTAACTCACAAAAATATTCCAGTCTGCGCAATATATTTCATATCATCCTGCCTAAAAGTGATATTAGGAAAAGAACGCTTTAGGGTATAATATTGTATATCAATTATACTTCAATTAAACATGTTTTTTTAAAAAAATGATTTAGGAAGATTAGCCCAGATGGATTAGAGGTGAAAAAAAAATGGGAGGAAGGGAAATGAGTTGGGAGACAACTTTAGGAATGCAGTATGGGTGACCATTAGAGGGTCTGCCACTTTCTAGGTATCCGATAAATGTTTGTCAATGACTGAACAAATGAATGAGATAGTGAGACCCTAATCCGGGATAATGATAGGAAAGAGAACAATGAAATGCAGCAATTTCCAGGAAAGCATACACTTGTATCAGATTGGACACAGAGGATGACTAAAAGAAAGAATTCAAGGTTATCAGATCCAGGTCTGAATATCAACAATGGTAATGTCCCTAAGAAAGATGAAGATGTAGGAAAATACTTTAGATGAGAAAAGGAAGAATATGTCAGGAATGCAAATTTGAGAATAAGATGGAGGGGACAAAGAAGTCATGCAAAGGAAGCTCACCGAGATAGAGATTTTGGTTAGAAGAGCAGGAACGGAGAAAGAGAAATGCACAAGGATGTGCCATAAGGAAGCCCAAGGTGGTTCTGGGGGACCTGAGAAGGAAGCAAGACTTATCAAAAGATCAGGGAGGGCCAGTCTGAGGAGAGGTTGGTCAAAAAGAAACCTAACTATTTGTCCTCTGCCTGACTGGATGGGAAATTCCCTCAGAAAACCTGAAAAAATGCCCAGGCACTAGGAGAAAGGTGAACTCTTGGCTGGAGAAGCAAAAGGAGGGACGGCCAGTAGGACACTAAAAGAGATCCAAGCAACTGTGAATAAAAGCATAATCTCAGAGACAACTGCCAAATGGATGAGAACAAATGAAGCCCCCCAAATCTCTGACCTACAAATCCCTTAGACTGATGGGTGAGTGTTCTGATCTTAGGACCACCATTCACTTCAGGCTGTGAGAAACTCACAAAGGGCAGAGTCCTATTCCCAGAAAGAGAGAAAAAGAGGTTTTACCTTGGGAGGTTGTATTCCTTTAACTCACCAGCAGCACCTGCCTGTTCAGGTTTCTGTGAGCAGTAGTCACATGGTCCTTGGTTACTGATTAGCTGCAACGGAGTGAGGAGTAAGAGGGAATACCTGAAAAATTCCAGAGAAGACAGATGAATGAAATATAAAAATTGAAAGAAAAAAAAAACTGGGAGAAAATATCAGGGGACTACTTGATCTCAGGAAGCAAAAGGCCTATGCCTTAAGCATAAAACAAAGCCTGACATCATAACAAAAGCAGATAGATTTGACCATACAGAAATTCCTGTACTTCAAAAAAACACCATAACAAATCTGTAATATAAACTAGAGTTACCTTATACTAGAATTAATTGGGTGTATGTCTGTGTCACTCCTCCTCACAAGTACACATTAAGCTCTAAGTCCCCGAGAGCAAGGCCCATGGTATTCATGGGTGTAATTCCACAAAGTACCTAGCACAAAGAGGGCTCAGTAAATGTTTTGTGATTTGAAATGTTAAACAAGTTCAAGATTCTAATTCTATCTGGGTGC